GGGGGGTCCGGTCGTGGGGCCTGAACTCTGGGCCTGAGCGCTGTCCCTCAGCTCTTCAGCTCAAGGCTAGCGCTCTACCACTTGAGCCACAGCGCTGCTTCCAGCTTTCTTCTTTTTGCTTATGGGGTGCTGAGGAATCGAACCCAGGGCCTCAGGCATGCAAGGCAAGCGCTCTACCACTGAGCCACCTTCCCAGCCCAGTCCCTGAGCTCTTTAGCTCAAGGCTAGTGCTCTACCATTTGAGCCACAGCACCACTTCCATCTTTTTCAGTTTATGTGATGCTGAGGAATCGAATCCAGGTCCTCATGCATGCAAGGCAAGCACTCGTACCACTGAGCCACCTTATTGTTATTGTTGTTTTAAATTTTGTTTTGTTTTGTTTTTGGCCAATTCTATGGCTTAACCTCTGGGCCTGAGCACTGTCCCTGCACTCTTCAGCTCAAGGCAAGCTCTCTACCACTTGAGCCATGGCGCCACTTCCAGTTTTCTGGTGGTTAATTAAGATAAAAGTCTCACAGATTTTCCTGCCCGAGCTGGCTTTGAACCGCAATCCTCAGATCCCAGCCTCCTGAGTATCTAGAGTTACAGGTGAGATCCACCAGCGCCTGGCTGTTTTTGTTCTTTATCTACTAAAATTTGAACTCAGTGCTTATCAGGCAAGGAATCTACTGCTTAAGCCACACTGTCAGCCTAACATTCCTTCCGTATAATTACATTTCTTTGTGGGACTGAATTTAAATTTTCTTTCTATACTTGAACTCAACAGTATATTTAAAATAATGAAGGGTCTTTTCTATTTGTTTGGTTTTGTCAGTTGTGGGGCTTGAACTCTGGGCTTAGGCGCTGTCCCTGAGCTCTTCTGATCAAGGCGAGTGCTCTACCACTTGAACCGCAGTGCCACTTCTGGGATTTCTGGTGGTGTTTTATTGGAGATAAGAGTCGCAGGCTGGGAAGGTGGCTCAGTGGTAGAGTGCTTGCCTTGCATGCACGAGGCCCTGGGTTCGATTCCTCAGCACCACATAAGCAAAAAGAAAAAAAAGCCGGAAGTGGCGCTGTGGCTCAAGTGGTAGAGCGCTAGCCTTGAGCTGAAGAGCTGAGGGACAGTTCCCAGACCCAGAGTTCAGGCCCCATAACCAGACCCCCAAAAAAAGAGTCTCATGGAATTTCCTGCCTGGACTGGCTTTGAACCCTTATCCTCAGATCTTAGCCTCCTGAGTAGCTAGGATTACAGGCTTGAGCCACTGATGCCTGGCTTAAGGTGTTTTCTATTAAGCCAAATATTAACACAGATTTATAAAAGTATAATACAACGCCACTTTTTCCCCTTTTCATTCATGGGGCTTAACCTCAGCCTGGGCACTATCCCTCAGCTTTTTTGCTAAAGGACCTACTACTTTGAGCCAAGCTCCTCTTTCTGTTTTCTGGATATCTAGGATCTCAGCCTCCTGAGTAGCTAGGAGTACAGACATCAGCCATCTCTGTCTGGCAAATGACACTCAATATATTTTTCTCTATCTGTTCTTCCACATTGTCCTTGATTTTGAAGTTCCTTCTCCCCACACTGCCAGACTGAGGATAGTGCCAGGTCTATCAAACCTACCTTTGAGCTGTACCCACCATTTTTGAAGCTCCTTTTGAATCTCTTAGATCTTTGTTTTTGGTGGTGGTAGGGCTTGAACCCTAGGCCTGGGTGCTGCCCCTCAGTCTTAACCTGAAGGCCAGCACTCTACCACTTGAGCCACAGCACCACTCCTGGTTTTCTGGTGGGTAATTGGAGATCAGAGTCTCACAGACTTTCTGCCCAGGGTGGCTTTGAATTGTGATCCCCAGATCTCAGCCTCCTGAGTAGCTAGGATTAGAGGCATGAGCTGCTGCCCAGCTTGAAACTCTTAGATCTTTTTAGCTTTGTTTCTTTGGCCTAAGTGGCCAGCACCTTGCTTTGTTGGAAGGAGAATAAGTATGGAGGATTGGTATTTGCTTGTGGAAAATAGTCTACAAGAGATAAGGGACCATAATAAGGAGGCAGGCAGAAGTAATATGGTCTTAATGCTGATGGAGGTGTGTGGTCTGGCGAGATTGTCTTTGATTTAGGATAAATGAGGGGGAAAACAGCAAAGATGCTTTGACATAGGGTGGGTGACCATCCTGCTACTAATCATCGTTTATTAGCTTGTACATTGTTTGGTTATGAGGTGGGCAGGCTTGCCACAAACCAACTTAATAACTATTGTATTAAAATAATCAGTAACAGTCATTTGTTATATGTAAGTGATCTGGTCATGTTTTTATGTTTGAAAATACTTTTATACAGGAATATAAGGTTTTGATTACTACTTTCTTGGTCTTATCTGTAAAATACTTAAAGATCATAGAGTTAGCAGAAAATCTTGGTTCTATTCATTTTTCTTACTAAAACTTGTAAGAATACTTTATTCTTCTAAAATTCAATATGTTTACTGGCGTTTCTATTTTTGTATGTGTATGCACACACTTTGAGTCCTTCAATCATATAGGTTAGACTTCATTACTCATGTGTTGTACCAAAGGGTATCAGATCCCTTAGGCTAACTTGGATTGGATATTTGCAGCATGTATGCTACTTCCTCTCCACGTATGCTACTTCCTCTCCACGTATAGTCATCCTCAGAATCTTTTTCCTTAAACCTCTATTTGCATTCTTTATTTTTTTGTGGGGGGTGCTAATCCTGGGACTTGAACTCAGGGCCTGAGTGCTATCCCTGAGCTTTTTTGCTCAAGGCTAGAGTTCTACTGCTTTAAACCACAGCTCCACTTCTGGCTTTTTGATGGTTTTGGAGACAAGAGGCTCACAGACTTTCCTACCTCCGCTAGCCTTGAACTTCCATCCTCAGATCTCAGCCTCCTGAGTAGCTAGGATTACAGGTGTGAGCCACTGCACCTGGCAAAAAATTTAAAATATTTATTGAGGGCGGGCTCCATTAATGCATATGTGAGTGTTTTAAAGTAAAAAATGCTTATAGATAAGGAAGTTTTTAGAATTCTCAAATCTGTTTAAGTTTTTGAATCAATTCTCTTTTCCTCTTACAGCTCCTAAACGACGACGTCCTGCACGTTCAATATTTGATGGTTTTCGAGATTTTCAAACTGAAACTAGTAGGTATCTGTGGCTCCTTCTTTCCTTCACTTTTTGTTAAAAGGAAAAGGTTATTACTATTAGGTGTAACTACTTTGAGTAGGATTCATTTCAATTTAAGAAGAGAAACCAGGAGTTGAGTGTGGTTATATACACTTATAATGCCAGCTACTTGAGAGGCAAGAGATACATAGAGATGAGGGGCTGGGAAGGTGACTCAGTGGTAGAGCGCTTGCCTTGCATGCTTGAGGCCCTGAGTTCGATTCCTCGGCACCACATAAGCAAAAAGAAAAAAGCCAGAAGTGGTGCTGTGGCTCAAGTGGTAGAATGCTAGCCTTGAGCTGAAGAGCTGAGGGACAGCGCCTAGGCCCAGAGTTCTGGCCCCACAACTGGACCCCCCCAAAAAAAAAGAGATACAGAGAGATGATTGTGGTAGGAGACAAGATTGTGGTACTAGGCCAGCCTAGATAAAGTTAGTGGGGTACTCTCTGAATAGCAAAAGGCCTGGGATGTGTGATTCAAGTGGTTAGTAGGCCTACAGGTTGAATCCTCAGTACTGAGGATTTAGTTTATGAGTAATTCTTAAGCCAAATTGTTCTAAATTCTAACCTATTTGTGTAGAAGAATGATGTTAGTTGCTCGTGCCTGTAATTTTAGTTACTCAGGAGGCTGAGGATCATGATTTGAAGCTAGTCTGCCCAGGAAAGTCCATGAGACTCTTACCTCCAGTTAAACACCAAAAAAGTAAAAAGTGGAGTTGGGGCTCAAATGGTAGAATGCTAGGCTTGAGCACAAAAGCTCAAGGACAGGTGGCCAGGTCCTGAGTTCAAGCTTCAGGACTGGTACCTCCCCCGGCCAAAAAAAAGAAAGTTTCAAAATATGTTCACAGAATGTCAAGGAAAAACTTAAAGGAAATAATGCGAGAAATATACCAACTTAATCACTTTCTGAATAACCACATAAAGGCTGAGTCTAATAAACTAAATAAAAATCCACACTGAGTTCTCTCACAATCCTTTATCTGTGAATTGAAAGAATAAATAATGAAATAGTTATTATTGATTAAAAAACAGAAAAGTTCTGCAGTTGTGTGTAATAGCTTTATATCCTTTCATGAAGTAACTCAGAAGAAAGATAGATCTTGGCCTTTATCTTTCAGTGGATTTTATATTGAGTTAGCAATGGAATTCTAAAGAAGTGAGACTGAAGTATCTAAGAATTAACCTAACCAAAAATGTAAAGGGTCTATTTCATGAAAATGATAAAAGCCTTAAAAAAAGGAATCATAGAGGATACCAAGAAATGGAAAGATCTCCCATGTTCCTGGATAGGCAGAATTAACATAGTGAAAATAGCTATACTGCTAAAATGATATACATGTTCCATGCAATTCCCATTAAAATCCTAATGATGTACTTTACTGAAATAGAGAAAACAGTACAAAAATTCATATGGAACAACAAAAGACCTAGAATAGCCAAAACAATTCTAGGCAAAAGAAACAACGCAGGAGGGATCACAATACCAAATTTCAAGCTCTACTATAGAGTTATAATAACAGACAGCTTGGTGCTGGTACAAAAAGAGACCCGAAGATCAATGGAACAGACTAGAGGACCCAGAAATAAAGACAGCCAACAAATTGGGAAGACATATTTACCAGCAAAATATCAGACAAGGGTCTAATATCCATTATATGCAGGGAACTCAAGAAACTGCATATGTACAGTTAGTTGATATTTGACAAAGGAGCCAAAGACATACAGTGGAAAAATCATACCTCTTCAACTATTGGCCACATGCAGAAAACTAAAAGTGGACCCCAGCCTGTCACCATGCACCAACATCAACTCAAGATGGATTAAAGACCTTAACATCAAACCTGAATCTCTGAAACTACTGCAGGACAGAGTAGGAGAGACACTTGAACTTGTAGGCACAATCAGGAGCTTCCTGAACAAAGTCCCAGGGTCACAACAAATTGGAGACTCAACAAATGGGACTACTGCAAAGACAAAGAAATAGCAGCCAAACTAGAAAGACAGCCAACAAATTGGGAAAATGTATTTACCAGCAAAATATCAGACAGGGGTCTGTAATATCCATTATATACAGGGAACTCAAGAAACTAACCCTTCACAAATCTAACAGACCAATCATGAAATGGACAAGGGAACTAAAGAGAAACTTCTCAGAAGAAAAGATAAAAATGACAAAGAAACACCATCCCTGGCTGTAAAGGAAATGCAAATAAAAACAACACTGAGATACCACTTTACCCCAGTCAGAATGGCCCCCATCCTAAAGTCAACCAATGACAAATGCTGGAGGGGATGTGGAGAAAGAGGAACCCTACTGCATTGCTGGTGGGAATGTATACTAATACAACCACTTTGGAAAACAGTCTGGAGATACCTCAGAAAGCTAAATATAGACCTCCCCTATGACCCAGCCATACCACTCCTAGGCATCTACTCTAAGCAACAGGAACCAGTATACAAAGACATATGCACCTCCATGTTTATTACAGCCCTGTTCACAATAGCCAAGATTTGGAAACAACCCAGATGCCCCACTACTGATGAGTGGATCCATAAATTGTGGTACCTATATACAATGGAATATATATATTTTTTGGGGGGTTTGGTCGTGGGGCCTGAACTCTGGGCCTGGGCGCTATCCCTCAGCTCTTCAGCTCAAGGTAGCACTCTACCACTTGAGCCACAGCGCCACTTCCGGCTTTTTTCTTTTTGCTTATGTGGTGCTGAGGAATCGAACCCAGGGCCTCAGGCATGCAAGGCAAGCGCTCTACCACTGAGCCACCTTCCCAGCCCCTATACAATGGAATATTATGTAGCCATTAGAAAGGGCAAAATAATGGCATGTGCAGGGAAATGGATGGAACTAGAGCAGATTATTTTGAGTGAAGTAAGCCAAGAACAAAGAGACAAACGACACATGGTCTCCCTGATACGTGGATGCTAAAGCCAAATACGAGAAGATATTGCAAAGTAATGGGACTCAAGAAACAAAGGACAGCCACCCATTTTGTCATATCATTGCTAAATGACTCCATGTTCTTAACCACATATATGGTGTATATATATATATATATATATATATATATATATATATATATAACAGAGGGAAGCCAGGAAGAGGAACAGAATAAGTGGGAACAGCCTATACTAAGCAAAAAGAAACATCACGTGATGTAGAAAAAATAACTTGTGTTGTCAAAGCTCATAGAATTCACAAACTGTATAGATTATGATAATGACAATTTGCCTTGTGAAAGTTAAAATGTGTTTGTGACTCTAAGCATCACTATTCCATAATACTGTGAAATATGTGAAATTTATGTAATCACCTAATCTCAATTAAAGGAAAAAAGTGAGAGAAGGGATGGGTTAAGAGAGATGGGTGACAATGCTGTCAGACACTTTGTACTCATATGCTGTTTTGTAGAACGGGAACTTCTTTGTACAACTACTTAAAGATAATTAAAATAAATAAATATTAAAAAAAAGAAGTGAGACTGATGTTTAGACCATAACATGAGAACCTGTTGGTCTGTGCTCGATTATGTAATTGCTTTAAAATGAAATAATGGAGACACAGATAGGTTGTATAACTTAGGAGGGTGCTGTAAGGGAACCTGTACTATTTCATCAAGGGAATCTGTACCTTTCCTTCCACTACACAGTGACAACAGTGGTCAACATCTCTACTGTCAGATCTGGTCTTTAGAAATTGAGAATGAGAATAGAGCTAACAAGAGCAGACAAATTAAGAAGTTAAGATCATTCTCAGAACCAGATAAATGAGGTTGAAGGCTTTCTTCTTTCTGTCTTTTGGATGTGTAAAGGAAATTATTTTGCTTAGGTGACTGTGTGTATGTCTGGGTGTATGTCTGTGGTTTGCCAGGGCCTTTAACCTCTACCTACACTTTCAACTCAAGGTGACCTCCTTCTTCTTCTTCCTCCTCTACTTCTTCCTCCTCTTCTTCTTCCTCTTCTTCTTCTTCTTCTTCCTC